GGCAGCCGAGAAAGCTTCGCGAACATAAAACCCTCTTTTAGTTGCGGGCGGTCTGCAAGAAGGGGACGAGGGTAGATCTCGACAACGCACTACTTAATGCCGATGCAGAAAAGCGGCAGTCAAATTTATAAACTTAAACTATTCGAGGCTTTTGAGGCTTAGCTTAGTAGTCGAGGCGCAAATAAATACAAAGAGTTTGGCAAGGATGTTTCAGGCTGGGGAATCTGACCACCGAGATGATCACTGCACGCTTAAAGGAGCTCGGATCAATTATAGACAATGCAGTAACTCCATCAATATGAAGGAAGCCAATGAAAATCCCCCTTCCCCAATGACGCAGAAGAAGCTAGTGGGGCTCAATTTGATTTAGGCAGTGTTCAATAGCCACAGTTGGCAGTGTGCATTTGAATGTATACGGCAGAAATGGGTGAATCAAAGAGAGGCAAAACAAGAATAACACCTTGCGCACTGCCAGAGAGATTGAAGTCTCTGGTACTTTGTGTTAATAGAGAATACGACGGTGCAACTCGCTTAGAACCCTAAAGAGAAGTCGATAATAAAAAGGTGCTATCAGGAATGGTTTCGTGGACGCAGAAATGCGATTCGAGAAATACATACGCACAGCCTGGCGACTTACCGGCAGATGGTCCGGGCTGGACCGCCGAGAGGATGGAGTGGAGGTCTTGCAGCCGAAAACGAGCCTGGTAATGAAAATAACTGGCGGTAAGTGTCAAATGAATGCGACGTGGAAAATAAGATTGGGGTGAAAATGAAGTCAGAAAGTTGGTTACTAGACTCGAGCCAACTAAAAGACCTTTTTAGCATCTATGGTAGTAAATCGGTGAGTGGGACTGGCATGGCAAAAAGTCCTACGCCATACGTCCCAATGAAGTGAAAAGAGCGGGAGGCTCCGAAAACAGAAACTTGGTCTCGCAGCTAACGCCTGTTATTGGGTGGAGCCTCAGTCTCAGCGAGAGCTTAAATGATAATTGAAACCCTTCAGGGATACTGCAGAACCTGAATCAACCGAAGAAGCAGACCAGGGGTTCAGGTCTCATTTCGTTATTACGTCCGAAAATGAAGACAATTCAAAGAACAACCCAGAAAAACAACACCAATAACAGTCGACGGCAGTCGGCTAGAGAAGTGAGCAAAAATTACTACGTCAAAGTATTGATTTCCAGGGAGGGCCTAAACTAACGAATTAGCTTTCGTCAGCAGACAAACCTGTGCAGTGAGCGGCCTTGTCCACCGATTGAATGAAAATCTCGCGGTTTAAGTGTACGCCAAAAATAAAGTGCAAACTTCAAATGGCTAGTCAGAATCGATCTCTAGGTAGTTATAATGTCTCGCCCTCTGTAACGTACATATCGGGTGACCGCACTCTCTGAAAAGTGACGATGCGGCAGAAGGGTGAACAAGAAGGCGTCA